ATGTTAAGATACGGTTTTAGGATTCAGTATGGTACAATGTGGGTAGTCTAGCAGCTGACAAGTAATTTGTTCTGGGCTTGTGAACTCTTTTGGAGTGTCCTAGTCAATTCTCTGTTTTGGAAGACAAGAAAAATGAGGGCATATCAGGTGCAAACTTGCCACTAAGCAATTTGAAGACTGTAATCAAGTCGCCTCTAGTTCTGCGATATGACAACGGGAAAAGGTTTAGCTTGGCCAGTCGAGATTCATACGGAAGCTTCGCTATCCCGGGAATCAGCTTAGTTGCCGTTCTCTGAACCTTTTCCAGAAGCTCACTGTCTTTTTTAAGGCAGGGGCTAGCCGCTTGTATGCAGTACTCAAGTTTAGGACGTACGAACACTGTGTACAAAGTCAAAAACGTCTTGGCGTCGACATGACTAAAAGCCCTACATATTGACCATAAGGTTCTAAGACCTTTGGTGGCTATTGCACGACGATGTGCAGTAGTCTTTAGGTCTTTGCTAACGATAACTCCTAAGTCATTATATGTCTGGACGACAGGTAGCTCAGTGTTATTCATCATGTATGTATCTGTACCTTGATGACCAATATGTGTCACAACACACCTGGAAGTATTTATCGGCAACTACCAGGTTTGAAACTATTCAGATAACTTCTTCAGGTCATTTTGAAGTTTTAAGCTATCACTCTTACATCGTATCGTTCTCCATATCTTGACATCGTCAGCATATAGCAAGACCGATGATGATAGGAGACAAGGAAGGTCATTTACATACAAGAGGAATAGCACTGGCCCCAAAACTGTACCCTGGGGCACTCCACTAAGCACAGTTTCCCAGCTAGATAACTTTGAGTTCACCCGTACTCTTCGTTGACGCCCAACTAAGAAGTCTTTTGTCCACATCAGTAAATTGCCTCCAGTCCCGACTTTTCTTAACTTATATTACAGCCGGTTGTGCGGAACTTTGTCAGAAGCTTTACTGAAATCAATGAAGACGTCTACAGGTAGCTTCTGGTCCTTAAGAGCGCACCAGCTTTCACGAGCCACTAATATGTTAGTGAGACAAGAATAACCTATTCTGAAGCCATGCTGCTTCTCCGAGAGGATCCGGTTTTCATCGAGATACTTAAACAGCTCCTTCCAAAAATTCTTTTCTAAGATTGTAACAACCACACTAGTTAGGCTCACGGGGCGGTAGTGCTCAGGTTTGTGTTTCGTACCTGTTTTGAAAATAGGACTTACTATGGCGTTTTTCCAGTCTTTTGGTAAACGACCCTGCGAAACGGATAGGTTAGAGCATGTACTTAAAGGGCTTGCAACGAAGTTAGACCATTCCTTCAGCAGCCTAGGATGTATATACGTTGCTAAAGTAGTTCGAGAACACTTGAGCCTTACCAAAGTCGTCTTCCACTAATGATGAAGCAGTACTGTCTCCCCATAGAGCAGGAATATTTCCTTTTATCCTTGTCCTTTGGTTTATATAGGAATACAAGCGTTTAGGACATTCTATGGATTCCTTAACAAGTTTTCCTTCGTACAATTTTCTAGACTTGCGGAGGGTCGAGGCACAAGTATTCCGAGCTTCTCGATACTGAGATTTTGTCTCATCAGTCCCCAGTAACCTAAATCTATCTCACATTTTCCTTTTCTTACGGAGAAGGATACGGACCTCCCTACTGAGCCATGGTGGTGAGTTTTTCGGCCCCTTTGGTATAGTCCAAGGGATGTGAGGCGTGGTAACTTTTAAGTATGAATTTCGAAATGCGCCCCAGGCCGTTTCAATGGAGGACTCTGGGTCTATTGTCCAATCTATTAACGATGCTGAGTGCATGATGTCTGGTATGTTTGCTTTCCAGACGTTGGGTCTGGACTGGACTGACGCGTGCTCGTGACTGGCAGTTATATGGAGGTCGAAAGTTAAAACTGCGTGGTCACTTCTACCTAAAGGTGGCATATGATGGAGGTCCGCAACATCATCCTCATAGTGAGTGAGTATAAGATCTAATAAGGATGATTTGGTGTCCGGATTGTACCTTGTCGCTTCTTCCACATGTTGCACTAGAGCACATGTGATAACTTCATCAACTAGTTCCTGCTCGAAAGAATTCTCCGACGATTTAGTTCGCAGACTTTCCCAGGATTAGACATCAACCACTTTGGGACCAAGTATTGAGACTGCTTAACAGGATCTCATTTGCCTCACAGCTTGGACTGCGATAGACCAAACCAATCAGCAGCTCTTGTCCTTTGCATTTCAAGCGGCAACTAACTAATTCACACGTCCCACTCTCATGGGATACACTATCGATAATGGCAAATGGGATAGCATTCCTAATGAATAGAGCTGCTCCCCCTCCTTTGCGCTTTTGTGTTCTGTCGGCCCTCACTAACGTAAAACCCTCGAAATCAAGTTCCATACTATCTATAGCCTATGTCAGCCAGGTTTCTGTTACTGCGATTATGTCTGGCTTTGAAGAGTCAATCTGTACACCTAGTTCTGATCGTTTATTAAGTAAGCTTCGTGCTTCACCCAGAGTGGCTTCGGCATCATTCTCTGTCAAAGTCTTACAACCCGAAAATTTACAATTTACAGGTCCTTTTCGCCAGCGTCTAACCTAAGTTGTAGTTCTTTTTCGGCCTCCCGTCTTTTAACACGGTCTGCCAACGGTAGGTCCTTTCGGATATAGACTCCTGAACCCTTTAATTCGTGTCCATTCTGTAAAACTAGGTCACGTCCGTTCGAAGAGCCGAATACTACTTCAAGCAGTCTGGAATGATTTGGTTTCGAATCCGCTAGACTCCCTAGTCTGTACACCTTTAGCAAGGTGACTCCGGTCATATTTTGAGGTATGAGTTGATTAATCAGCTGCCTAATCAGTACAATGTCATGCTCAAAACGAGCTTTGGGTTCAGAGCTCTCGCTCTCCTTGATTCTATGAAAAATAGCTGATCTGTCGCTATGATCGGCTTTCGATTTTTCAACTACTTTTACGGGGGCAGGGTTCCCTTTTATGTCCCTACTTTTCTTCCTTACAACCTGTACACATTCGTCAACGGTGCTGGTAGAAGCAATAACAGTTGCGTCAAACCTAGTGTTGGGGGGTTGTCGACGACCTGAGAGGTCGGGTTATGTTTACCGTTTGAAACCGATCGACCATTGCGATTGCGGCTTCTAGGTGTTTCCTGTTGAATCACATCTGGGAGACGGAGAAAATAAGACCCTACTTTTTTTGAGCTTTTGCTTAAGGCAGGCCCCTTTGGAGACTGCTTTTCCTTCTTTAGCGGGCGTAAGTCATCTATCATCGGACTAACCTTAGTTTCCTTCACGTTGATTTGCGTGACGACAGATCGAGTGCTGTTTGACGCGTTCCGACTATGCTTGCTAAAACACTTCTTTGCAGCATCAACCAGTGAGATGGCCTCGGTTAACAAGCTGTTTGCATCCGAGCAGCACTGTTGACAAAGCCATACACAACCGTTCTTACTGAACCGTTTGAAAGCAGCAGGCGTTGAGTTCGTGCAAACTTCGTAGTACCAGCCTTTGCACTCGTCGCACTGCATGCCGCTTTCAACAAAATAACGACAACCCGGACGTTGGCAACTGCTTTTTTTCACTGTCCGGTCATTTAGGAGGGGTTTTTTTCAAGATGCGATGATACCCAGAAACAAAAAAATAATCAATGACCAAAAAAGTGAAGAGCTGTAGATTGCTAGGACCAAAAGTACTAACAGATACAGTTGAAAAAGATGTACTCAAGAGTACCAACGACAAAACTAATTGAGAGAACAGCAAAAACGATACTCTAGTCGAATACTTTAACTGAAATAAATTCAATTAAAGTGAAAACAGTAGTCTTTATACGTAATAAACGACCAAAACAAAGAAATTTACTCAGGGAGGAAAAATACCATTGTCCTTCTTAAATAGCGCGCGTGTTTTAAGTACGAATGACAACTGTATTGGAGAACATAAGTTACTTCCTATGCAAAACTGACTGCAGCTGACCTAAATTATTAATAACCGTTTGAAGATTAAGTTAATCAAACCCTCTTCTTATTTCAAAGTGAACTAAGATACTCATTTATTTGGTCAATTTAGGATCATAGTGTCCATTACGTTACGTTGCTAAATTTGTATAAAAACAGGGTAGAGTATTAAATGCAGATGTTACTTTAAAAAACAAGTCAAATTTTCTAATAATAGCAAAACTGAGGATTACAAATTCTCTTTTGAAATACAACAGTGTCGAACATGTAATTCACTGCATGATATCAAAAGCGTCCAACATAATATAAAAACCAACACGTTATTTTCAACCGATACTAAAGACCATATACCAACACGGCTGTGAAGTGACGCCAATTTGAGCAATTTACACTCCGTTTGACAATGCGGTGATTTAAGATAACTGACAATAAACCTTAATGGGTATAGTTTAGAACTTTATATTGCATTTCAACTTCTAACGGCTGCATGGTTCTTGGTGCGTTACCGATTATCACTAACTACAATTTAGTTAGGTACTAATGCAAATATGAATAATTGAACTGACACTTTGTAATCCCCAAAAAATATACTTACTAGGCATTTATTATGGATGAGAGTAGACGTGAAAATGGGCAGCTTGGAAGATACTGCTTTATATATTTTCAAAGGTAGTTGTAAGAAAACTGACTACATTTTAATTTTGACCTAATTGCAAGCTCCTATTTGAACAATTAGCTAATGACATATCTTTTCCTGTTTTTAGGTCACGCTGGATTAAGCACCAACTTATTACACAATTTTGAACCAAAGATGTCTTCGTTTTGCATATGTTATGATTTATTATTTATGTTGAGGTATGGTCTCGTATTCTGTGCATATAATTACATGAATTTCAAAGTATAAATCATACAAATATAATCGTTCCATTTAACTAGGGTTCTAATTGCTACTTGGGGAAACAAATTAAAATATCGCGTAGGCAACCACTCATTTTGATAAAAAAAAGTATAATTTCACCAGAATATTTAATGTTTTAGAGACAAAAACTGAGGTTTTATTGCTTTTATTCTCAAAATTTAGACCTCTAGTTCATCTTATTAGGTGCCAATTAGGTGTAAATAAAGGAATGAATCGATGAAAAAGTGTTTCAATGACGACCAACATATGTTATTCACCAGGAAATCTTATCCGACCAGTTAAAATAACTAAGCAGGAGTTTCATTAAGTTTCTAGTACAAATTCAACTCATTTAAGATGGCCAATCAGTACAATTTAGTTTGATAAATAACTTACCAAGTATCAAAAGTGAGTTGGTATATAGATTGAATAAAAAACTAACAATATTAAATGTTTTAAGCGCAACATATATCATTATTAATATTTATCAATAGTGTATTAGAAGACAAGTAAAATGCGTTACAATGACTCTGTACAAAAAAATAATAATATATAGTTATCATGAGGACATTTAGAATCCCAAAAAATATTTAATAGCCCAATCATCCAGGATTACCAATTCTTGTATTTAAATCACCTTCATAAAACTGTCAACGTGAAAAAAAACAAATTCTGAATGTTTAATGTGTCACATAATTATTTATGAACGAATCAGCATGGATTAAAATATTTCATCACACTTATTCGCGTTTTGTGATGTGACGATTTAACTTAGGATGTACTTGCTTACAGATCATATGGTTCGTATTAAGTTTAGTGATCTTAAAAGTAATCAAAAGAAATCTTTAAAGTAGTTGGAACTTTTCAATCAGGAGTAACTTTAACTATGACGCAACTGATGATTCCGATGTGTCACTCAATAACAACACTTGAGACAAAACAACTGAACTATTAGGACCAAAACCGATTGTTTGCAAGTCTAAGATTTCTCTACTGATTATTTTGTGAGTAGTAACGAGTATCAGCTGCCTACAGCGAAGAGGCGTAAGATGCCTTGATTAGCTAGCTGAAACCCAAATGGACTATAACTACTACGATTTTCTCACAAAAAGTCCTATCTAAGGAAATATTGTAATAAAGCATACAGATTATTCTGTAAGTAACTATTAGTGCCCAGATAGTGAAGAATGTGCCATGGTTAATGAAAGAATATATCATAACCGTAAAACAGGTCGAAGATTAGACTTACTAGTGGGAATTTAAAATTAAGGTGATATGCTAAACTAGTAATAATTGGCCAAGCAGTGTCATTCATCGCTAGTGAAGTGGAAGTTAAGGACTGTTAGCTTAGTGGACGATATTATCAAGGTGATACTTTAATCATAAAAATCATGATGGCCTTAAGTGACGATCTACGAAAAATGATAAGAGAATCAAGATAGTGTGATTTTCAGAACATCAAATCAAGGAACTACGCTTCTTATTATTGTACTGAAATCTCAACACAAACTGCAGAAAATATTACATGATTTCCAAAATATACTTTGTTTGCATTTCAATTTAATTTATTTTAGCACTTAAAGTATGGATTATTCTGCACAAGCACTCAAACTGTGAAGACGAAGATCAATCAAAACGATCAACAGTTACCTATCATATATAAAGAAGCGATAAATTTTCATCTTTCTGCTTTGTTTCTTCATAACCCACGAAGCTCATTACATTGTCAATTACCACCTTACGGATAAATCAAAGACCGTAAAAGTTTAGAAACCGGATCCCACGAGTTTATTTACATTCAATTACGAAATTAATATTACTAATAAAATACCAAAATGTCAATTAACTTTAATTACTAACTACAAAAAGAACAATAACGGTCTTGTTAGCGCTCGGTGAATAATGAGGAGGGTCTATGCTTCTAGAAACCAACTCAGATGCTTACACCTTTAGAATAATGTCTACAGAAGTCCTACTTACCAATTTTTGCGGCAAGTCAATCAGTCATGCGCAACGTCCCAACCGTTGTTGATAACCTGACGTGGTGGTCAGGCTTGCCCGACGCGATGAACCAATCGAGCTATACTGTCTGGAACAATCGTTCCTCAAGGTCCTACCATGCCAGACATGTCGGTTGAAGAGCGACGAGACTAAAAGCAGCAAACCCAAGGTCCGAGGGCGAAGTCGTACTGCTAACCGTACGGACGTGTGACGGCAGTAGGGTGTTTCTTTCAGACAACCGGCATAACAGCGATGTTGCCATCCCACAAAGGAAAAGTGAGGTTAGAAAGGGACAACCCTAAAAATGCACACATCGCCTTATCCCACGGAAATCCGTCTCCGGCGATAAGGTCTCAATAAGTACGGAGCTAACACAGAAATTACCCGCAAAGAGTTCGCGTGACACCGGTTCAGACAGTTGTCCCTTGAGTATTGCAGTCACGCTCTCGGGTCACTAAGACCAACTCTAACTGTTGAAGTGATCCAGAAAGTTTCTTGCAAAAGACAAACAAGGATCAGGAAACACTAAGAAGCGTTTTATCTAATTAGCGTTCACTTGAAGTTTTAGCCAAAAATATCAAGGAAGTGAAACGTCACATGTAGAGGTTCTGATTGGCTGATTGCCATACTGCTACTATTTATAGTAGCATTCCAGAATCTTCGAGCAACCCAAGGCCATTTAAAAATATTATCTGTGTTAAAATGAACCGTGGAGTAAACTACTTCTCGCATACTTTGCGTCTTCTCTCTCGTTGTTCAGGTCACTGTATAGTCTTAGCTTGGGGCTTACAGAATAGCTTAGGAAACGAATATAGCGTTCAATTTGCAAGACTTATCACTAACCCAATTTCCTTTTCAAGTACAGGTGGGCAACTGGGAAGTGATAACCGCCCTCATACCTTTAACAGCACTTATAGTCACTGTATTCATAATCAATCTCCCTCTTCAATTCATATCACTCATCCTACCTCGACTGTCAACTCTAATTTTCCTCCTCAAGTGTCACCGTGCCAGATGATTCTAGTGAGCGAAATATTGTCACACGTCTACTGAAACTTTGCTCCACACTACACATTGGAGCCTTCGACGTACGCATTCTATGCCAAATAGGCCAGCAGGCCTCCTTCGCTTAGACCCTAGAGTCTCGTTCGATTGATGTATGCTGTGTCTCCGAAACACATAAACAGGATCCTAGTGTAGTCATTCACTTGACCTCACCTAGCCTAAACGAAAACCCGACGAGACATACACTCCGTCTATCTGACGACCCGGAGGCAAGTTCTTGTGAACTGGCGAGTGTACGCATAGTACTACGTATGAGGGTAGAACAAGCACTATTAGAATGGACCCCTGTTAACAGTCGCCTATAAGCTGTTTGGCTAAACGGCTCCGTAAGAACTCGGAAGGATAGGGACATACATCTCTGCCTTTTCGTCGTTCCTGCCTACACATCCAGTGGCTACAGCCCGAAGGAAGTGAAAGATGAACTTTATAGAAAGCCTTCTGAACTTGTTCAAAAAGCTAGATACTAAGTATTCACAGATGACTTTAATACCAAAGTAGGCGGCTTAAACAAAACAGAAAGACATTTAGGCGGGTATTTCGGTATTCCGGTACAGCGAACAGACATTGATGACCGTCTGCTGCAACTGTGCTTAAACGATCATTAATCTTTAACAAGCACTAATTTAAGATAATAAGGGGAGACGTCGTCTAACGTGGCGAACCCCTGTAACATACCAATGATGGACTCAAATAGATCGTATTGCCATCAGTTATCGTTGGGGAGGCTCGATAGAAAACTGTTACTCGTTCTCGAATACAGGTTTGTTCTAATACGAGCACGCATTTGCTTAAGCCTCACTGGATGCAGAAAAGCCACACTAAAAAGAACAATTAGAACTGAATTGAGTAGCGAGAAAACCATAAGTAGGTTCCAGGAACAACTGAGGTCACACTTAGGTAGTTCTGAAAACGAGGCTGACCCAGATGTTGCTTGGAAAGATAAACAAGCAGTTGTGGAAACAGCAGTGACATCTATTAATGATGTAAACCACAGGGTTACAAAGAACTAAGGTTTATTGCACTGATTGATTCTCGTAAACTCACTCCATAAGGCTCTGAACACGATGAAGAGCCAAAACAAATCAGACCTAGGTAAACCTAAAGTCTAAGGAACGACGTGAGCAGTGGTGGACAATGAAAGAAAAAGATATAGAAAAGGCAGTGGCTGTAGGTAACGCCAGACAGCTTTTCAGACTGATGAAAGAAACTGGAACCAATAAGTCAAGTGTAAGTCAGACTATTTCGGAAAAAGACGACACCCCCATCTGCTCTCAGTCCAGACGTTTAGAACGATGGGCGGAACATTTTAAAGAACAGTTCAGCTGGCCTTCAGCTACTCCACAACTATCCTCCATTCCCAGACAGTATGAACGGAACATTGAAGTAGGTCCACGACCCTAGCTGAAGCTAAAAAGGTTATAGTTAATCTGAAACGAGGAAGGGTAGCTGGTACAGATGGATTGGCTCCAGAGGTCTTTAAGTATGGTGTTCCAATTTTAGCGATTAGGTTGACTACTATTTTAGCTAAGATCTGGGAGTTAAATGTTATTCCATCTGACTGGTCACAATCTGTTATGACCTTGCGTCTCCCAATTATTTTGTTTTTTGCCAAAATCCCCGTCGCCAATTGTTATGACCTTGAATGTCTGATTTTTCTATCACACGATTTATCTACCAATCCCAATATATAAGAGAGGGTTAAAATCATCCTGTGACAATCGTAGAGGGATTTTTTGACTAAAATAGCATCTAAAATACTAGCGTCAATAATTATCGTTCTCTTAACTAAGACACGTGAACTGCAAACACGAGAAAATCAGGCTGGCTTTAGAACTGGCCGTAGATGCATCGACCACATATTCACCATTCGTTAGGTTCTAGAACACAGGCATGCTTATCGGCGTCCGACAATGGTGGTCTTTCTTGACTTAAAAGCATCAGTTGACTCTGTAGACCGCGAGGTTCTGTGACAGTGTCTGTCATTGAAAGGCGTACCTCATAAGTACATAAACCTTGTGAAGGCTTTATACTCGAACTCTACCAGTCGGGTCACAGCTTATGGTGAACTGTCATCTGGTTTTGCAACCTCAAATGGTGTCCATCAAGGCTGTCCACTTTCTTCATTTCCGTTTAACTTCATCATAGAACTACTGCTAGAAATTATGTTTTCGTCGACTGATCTCCTACCAGGAAGTTCACTTATTGACTTAGAATACGCTGATGACATAATCCTGTTTGGTGGAGACGCTGATAAAATGCAGAGCCTTTTGGTAGCACTGAGCAACAATGCCAGGATGTTTGGGATGGGTTGTTGCTTCACGACTGGTTTGTGTCAACAACTGAACTAAGGATAGCGAGTGAAGTAGTCGAACGCGTTGACAACTTCACTTATCTTGGAAGCTTGATCAGCCATAATGGGCTATTGTCTGACGAAATCTCAGCACGGACTCAAGAAGCTCGATTGCTTTTTGCCAACTTACGTCGCCTATGGCAAAGACGAGATAACCGTCTATCAATTAAGGAACGAGTATATTGCTCAGCAGTTCGTTCTGTTTTACTTTACGACTGCGAAACGTGGCCA